AATTCCTTTCTTTGCTGCTATTATGACAGGTGTCATGCCCTCGCAATTTTCTGTATCGATGTCGACAGTACATTCTTTCACTACATTTTTCTCTATTTCAGGATGTTCTGATAGTATGGCCAAACTAAGGATAGTGTCATTTTCATTACTCGCTTTTGTCAAATCTGCTCCTTTACTTGCAAGCAAATGCACCACTTCAATATGACCATGAAGCGCAGTATACATTACTGGTGTCCATCCCTTATTTCCTCCTTTCTTGATGTCTTCACTATATCGTGTTAGGAAATAGCGTCCGCCCGGAGAGCGGAAGGTCGCGGGTTCGATCCCTGGCCGCTTCATACCAAAAGACATTAACATATGGTACTTGTTCGTCCCTGCCTGGTACTCGGCATTAATGGGTACAACAAGGACTAGTCGGCTCGGAGTCAGTATAATGTGCCTCAGTGGGATTTTCATGCTTCACTGCGGCATGGTATCTCAGTGTGCTAGCACTATAAAACCAGCTTAAGTCTGGGCTAGTACAAGCAGCCGCACATACACACACATGCACATCGTCACATGAGCGAAATATTCTCAAGCACGACGTTAAACCCAATTTCACCTCACTATACACATTTCCTCCTTCACATGCAAAATGAAGGTGGTACTCAAAAAGAATGTTCTTCTTTATAGTTGCACCTTTGCTGATACTTAAGTAAAAATTCTCTTTGTGTCTTTTTGATGCTGCCCGCATTGCTGGTGAGACGCCATCAATGTCTGTGGCATTTATGGTTTCAATTTGCTTTCTGAGTCTTTAACACTTTGCAAAGTTATGACCTGATTAAACACTAAATACAGATGCTAAGACTTATTACACAAAATTGGTATTTCAGCTATGACAAGGAAATCTTTGCCAATGCTGATATTGTACAGTTCTTGATAACAAATTCAACTTGGGTCATACAACATATTGTAATGTTTGCTATAGTCTTTATTTTATATATACTAGTTCACGATATGGGATATGTGACACAAATGATAGAGTGAAAGACACTCTTACACCATGTATGCAGTTAAATACATCAAGGGGTTGCACTTATGAATTAAATACATGTCTGTATCATTGATGTGTACATGTATATGTAAATCCAAAATAGTTTTCTACAATGTGCAGGAACTTTATCACTCTACATTGACCTACGTGTGACATGAAGTTTTTTCACTCTGTATTATCACCATATTTTCTCATATAAACAATAAATAAATTTACTGACTTGTATTTTGGACCATCGGTTTAGCTGAAGTGAAATCAGTATATTTTAAATGTTATTGTCTGTATTGTTATAATCTGAGGACAGTACACTTGTTCTATAGGCATCTAGAATGACAGAATAAATCTTGAAAACTTGAATATTTATCATTTTCAAAATTGTGCAGAGCTTACTCTCCCTGAATATCCGTGCATCATGGCATGATCCGGGCCAGTTGGCCACACAGTTGGTGATTAGAAATTTGGGGTCACAAACCATCTGAAGAAAATGCATTCTGCATTTAGAATAATATAAGGAGATTTTAAAAAAACAACAAATTTGATATATTTGAGGGGGAAAGGAACTGGAGTCTTGGAATTTGTTTGAATATATGACAGGAATTTAATCTATTAACCAGAACATTTTGCTTAAAAACCACCCTATAACCATGTGGCAGGACATCTTTTAACAATCTGGATTGCATAATGTTGTTTTTAAAACATTATCAGGGACAATGTTCTTTATTCAGCTACTCCCCAGCTCCTTCCCCTTTGGAACATGAAATGGTTGATCCTTTCTCCATATCACAATTTGACTTCGTGAACAGGAAGGGATTTCACTCTCTTAATGCTTTATTCAGATACTCCCCAGCTCCTTGCCCTTTGGAACATGAAATGGTTGATCCTTTCTCCATATCACAATTTGACTTCGTGAACAGGAAGGGATTTCACTCTCTTAATGTTCAGGTAACTGAAATAATAATTTGATGCCTGTGCTCGATTTGGATTTTCAATAAATTTATTATTTTCCAGAAACACTGAATTCATACACCTGTAAATACATATATAAGAATACTACTACATATCCAGTTTCAGTATAAATTATTACACCAACTCCAATATTACATAAAAAACAGATGTTGACAAAGAAAGATAATTATGTTTATTAACATGCATATAAAACATGGGATATTGAATGTATGTGCATGTCCTTAACAATTTTATATCACAAAATTGTGATATAATTACTCAGAGTTGAAGTTGCAATATTACTCTGTGAAGCTGAAATTTGGGTCAATATTTCGTGTTTGCAATATTTCGTATTTGCAATATTTGCAATATTGTCAATTTTTCCTGCAGCTTAGCTACTCGAATTTGTTCTCTTATCAGATGTCTAGAATCCTTAATTTTCTCTAGTTTCTCTTTTAGTATTTCTTCTTCAGTTGACACTTTCACATGTCTAGCTGGTTCGCCCCCCAGAAAAGAACTTGAAATAATAGTTGGGTCCAGATCAGTGATGTCAGTGATGCTGAAGGCCATATCATCAGCTGAGTTCAGATCAACTTCAGTGATTGTTGCTCCATCATGTGGGGCTTCAGCAGTTTCTGAGATATTCATAAAGTATGAAAACAATAATTGCTAAAGTCATTATTTATTCTTTCAAACATGAACTTCTATCGTTATGTCCAATCTATTGAACAGAAATAGAACGTAAGCATTACATGTTATTGAGTTAAAGATGTTCCAAGCACCAAGTGTATCATAATTAGAAATGTAAAATGAACATATGTATATGTGAAATTGAAATTCATTAGCACATTTTATGCAAATGTTTCTCTTCACAGTGGACAACAATTGCACAATCAGTTAAAATATAAACTGTTTCCTGAAGCTCATTTAATAGAATATATTATGCTTGTATGCATGATCTCTACTGACCACGTTGCCATCTTCATCTGGAAAGAAATTAACAAATACAACAGGTGTTCTCCAGATCAAGCATCATGATGTTCTGTTATATTGGAATTGCATAATCACTAATTGCCAACCAAAGTAAACTTTATGTGGAAAGTTATTTTTTTCTGTTTTCAATAACTTCAACCATTGGTATTGACTTTTCATGGTGTTACATTTCAAACCTTTTACATATTTATCTGTATATTTTAACAACTTGTATAAATCAATTTACCTTCTGTGTCAATCCCGCCATCCACCCCACACAAACTTGGTCTCCCCTCCAAATTATCCAGCACTAGTTGCTCGGGTACAAGGAAGGGCATCCACTGACAAGGTGTTGGACAGTCTCCATGAATTCATTGCAAAGTCGACATTTCATATTGATATTTTCTTTAAGAATCACATTTAGGTGGTTGCGAGTGGGAATCGACTGGTCCTGAGCAGCAAAAAGGCAGCCCTCAGTTTCACATTTAAGACCGGCCGACTTCATCCAGGTGAAAGAGTCGGTGGGATTGCTGTTCTGTTCCACACACTGCATGTACACACGATGCAATGGCTTCTCAGAAAGCTTCTCCAAAAAAAGACCCACTCCGAGCACACTTGGTGAAGGACTTCACCTGGTTTACTCCCATCGCTGTACCGTCCAGCAGTACATCGCCATCGACAAAATCAACCTCAAATCTCAGATTCTGTCCAACAACCTTGGCATGCTTAAAATAGCTGGGGAATTACTTGCTTTCATCATGAGTCTTCACATGCATCACTAGAGGATCATCCGATAAATAAATATGTGCAAAAGTACACAATAAAATTCTATCATGAAGAGCCTCCACATTAATCAAACCCCGACCTCCAGAATTGATTGGCATGTGTACACTGTTTAGAGAGGAACGAAGGTGGTGGGCTCTGTTATCAGACATGATCCTTCTGGTCAGACGGTCAAGACTCTGGATGTCTTGTTTTGTCCAATCAACTACTCCAAAGGAACAGGAAAGGACTGGCACAGCATAAGTATTGGTGGCTTTGACTTTGTTTCGAGCATTTAGCTCTGAGCTCCAGATTTTCTTTAAATGAGATTTGTACTCGGCCCGAAGTTTGTCTTGAATCTAGGCATTCTGGAGCTTCTCTCGAACATGCATTCCAAGATAGGTGTAGGCCTGATCTTCCACAAGATGCTCAATAACTCCTCCCCCTTGTAACTTGACTGATCCATCATTAACTACCTTGCCACATTTCAAATGAAGGGTATTACATTTGTCGAGCCCAAATGTTATGCCAATATCATTAGAAAATGACTCGACAGGGTGAACCTGCTCTTTCAAATTGGAATCTCCTTTGGCAAGGAGCTCGATGTCATGCATGTATAGGAGATGAGTGAGAGGTGTTGGGGATCTGTGCTGAGGAGGTCCGGGATGGTAACCCTCCTCTTTATTGAGCAGAAAGCTCAAAGGATTTAAAGACAGACAAAAAAGCAAAGGACTAAAAGAATCCCCCTGAAATAATCCCCTTCTGATTGGAATAGATGCCGAATTCTGCACCTGCCCTTGCGAGTACATCGCAAGTTGAGTCGACCAGCAAGTCATTAAAGACTTGAGTAAATCAAGTAGTCGCTCAGGGAGGTCAATACAAAAATGAGACTTCAGAATCCATTCGTGAGTCGTATGCTTTTTTGTAGTCAATCCAGCACATGGAGAGGTTGCGGTGATATGTTTTAGCCTCTTTCAAAATCATTTTCTGTGCAAGAAGTTGATCCTTGCACCCGCAATATACTTATTATTACTATTATTATCAATACAATATTTCAGCAGAACCGGGTCTAACACAAGTTTTGTGACATGTCAGAGAGAGAGAGGAAGGTGTGCTGTATTTCCAGCGACAGCAATTCAGTTATCTTCCTTCAGTTATCTACTCGTACTGCTTTTTCCAGTCACGAAAATACCTCCATTGTTGTGAGCATGAAGTGCCAGGCTAATATCTGTCACTAACACTGCACCATACTTTCCAGCACTCTCACTGATGTTGGTGTAAACTGGAACATCCTGGGCTTTGGCACATGCAGTCCCTGCAAATGTTGCAGAGGCAGGTCACATGACTGCTCTCTATAAAAACTACATGTGTCAGAGGCCCAGCACACACCATGTCAGGCAGCAACTTAACATGTTGTTGTGACCCACAGGTATGTTGTGAATTTGGAATGTTGTGAATTTGGAATGATTGTTTTAATTAATTATGCAAAAGGTATTTATTTCTCAGGTATGAAGTATATTCAACATGATATTAAACAATGTTATGGGGAAATTGCCAGTGATAAAATTAATTGTTTAAAATACAATTAATTCCAAAGAATATATTTTGAGTATTTAATAATTGATAAACATTTATATTATCTGTGTAATGAGACACACCATGTCAGGCAGCAACTTAACATGTTGTTGTGACCCACAGGTTTCGTGCCTACAATAAATATCATCAGCCAGAATGGACTTTGTAGTTCCTGCGACAAAATGGCGCCCAACGTGGGGCTGATGTGTTATGAAGACGACCTGTGGATGATGTCATGAGACTCCATGTGGCCATGCTGCAGCAGGTGTAACGTCGCTGGAATATCCCAGGCACCGTGTCTCCTCTTGTGTTCACAAGACCTTCAATAAGGTGATGGGGCCCGTATCACATGTGAGGTTATGACATTGCCGGCATCGTGTGCACACTCGCGTTATCGCGTTCGCGTTTGCGTTGTTTTGTGTCAAGAAAATGACTCTTTATGTTGACTTTTTGCTGATGTGATTGTCAGCATGTGACTTTTGATTATCGTTTTTGAAGTCAGCATGGGACCTTTGATTATTGCTTCTTTGATGTCCGCATGTGATTCTTAAGTGATTTTTGGACATTGTGGATGTCCGCACAAGACTTTTTGATTATCGTTTGTCAGCATGTGATTCTTGAGTATCACATTATTGGACATTGTTGATGTCCGTACAAGACTTTTTTTGATTGTCGTTAATTGATGTTAGCATGTGTGTGACTTTGTTGCACAACGCAAGGCTTGAAGATTTCTTTTGTGTATTTTGACTTATGAGTTTGACATGGCCATTTGAAATGGTTGTTTGATGTTATTTTGGAATTCTGTGAATTGTTGTTTTATGAAATTCTGCATGATTATTTGGTTAGAATGTTAGAATACTTAAAAAACTGGCTATAATAAATTTAGGCAGGGGCTTACTTGGAAAGAATGAATTGTCTGTGAATGGTCTGAATGAAATGGTTATCTACACCCTTCATTTCACACAATGTTATTTCACTAACATTGAATTCCACGCACTGACAAATTTTTACAGTGGCTAATTGATGACACTAATGGTTGATTGTTTTTCAGATAGCAGCTTGTTCCAGCAGTGTGAACTTCCTCTACAGTTTTGCACTTATGTTGCCTGAGAAGGTTTTTGCATATCTATATTTGTTGATCGCCTTTTCAGTCATGGCTACTGGTGGTAAAGAGGACTGGGAAGGGTGTAAGGAAGAAGAGGGGCGTATTGGCCATGAGGATTTACAGAAAATGATCAGGTTTATGGAAACATCTGGATATCGTGTACTTCCACCAAGTTCATCACCTCGACGGAGGGCAAGTAGTTCTTTCTGTTCACCTAATACACAGTATATTCAGCCACCTCGCATTTCAACATTTTCTGGTAGTGATGCTAAAGGGGAGTCATCCTTTGAGAGTTGGGTTTTTGAAGTCAAATGTTTGTTGGCAGATGGGGATTATCCCACTTCCATTCTCACTCAGGCGGTTCGTAAATCTCTTAAGGGAGAGGCTGGGAAAGTTGTACTCTTACTTGGTGAATCTGCGTCGGTTGAGGAAATACTGGTCAAACTTGAAAGCATATATGGTGTTGTAAGTTCAGCTGACACACTTTTGCAGAACTTTTTTCACTGATTATCAGAAGGATAGTGAGTCAGTGGCAACGTGGGCCTGTAGGCTTGAGGACACATTGGTGAAAATTAAGAGTAAAGGCGACTTCATAAATGAAGGATCGGGAGATTGTATTCTGAAAACAAAGTTTTGGAGTGGTTTGAGAAATGATAGACTTAAGGATGCTACTCGTCACAGATTTGATGACTGTACAGATTTTAATTCTCTGCTTCGTGTTGTTAGGGAAACTGAACAAGAACTCTCTGGATCTAGTAGGGTTAGAGACCTAAGCAGAGAAAACCTCAGGTCCATTCGCAGGTTGTTGATTCTGATATATCGCAACATTTGAAGGATATTATCAAGAGGTTAGATAACTTGGAAAAAAACTCAGAAATCTTCAAGTCAACATAAATCAAAGTTGGAAAAGGATGTTGGCGAAATCGTCACCAGGTTAACACAACTTGAGTCAAAGGTTGGAAAAGTTACTGAATCTGTCAGTTATTCTGGTTCTCGTGGTCGTGGCCAGACTCGTGGTAGAGGTATCGTCAGTAATAAGGCTTTAAACCAGTGTTGACTTCTGTTGAGGAGCAAACAGATGTCAGTGATACTCACAGCTCCAATGATTTGTATTCCCGGATGGTTGGTCCGAGTGTTGAGGCTAATGTCTTCGTTAATGGCAGGGAATGTTTAGTCTTACTTGATACAGGTTCACAGGTAACAACTATTGCAGAATCGTTTTACCGTGATAGCATGAATGATCTTGAGTTGCGCAGTTTAGATGAGTTTCAGTTGGAAGTTAGTGGTGCAACTGGTAACAAATTGCCTTACTTAGGGTATATTGAGGTTCCCATTAGCGTTGCATTTGATACTGGCACGTATGTCATTCCAGTCCTGGTAGTAAGAGACACAGGGTTTAATACTAGAGTTCCCGTAATTCTTGGTACAAATGCACTCAAATTATTCCGCAATTGTCCTTTGGATGATGTCTCGGAATCATGGCAGACAATCCTGGATTATTTGAATACCTCAAGTGTCGGTATTGTCAGATCAACCAGTAAACATCCAGTTTCAGTTAAGCCCATGGCAGTGGCTACATTGAGAGGTATAGTCCATACCCAATCCCGCAAGATGACTGCTGTTACAGAACAGATAGAAAATAGTAGCACACCTCAAGGGTTAGGTGTATGTCCTCAGGTGGTGGAATTAGGGGCTCAAGGCAAAAGTACTATAGTTCATGTCAAAGTTTGCAATTTGTCGGCAAGGGAAATTACACTCCCAAGTAAGGCCAAGCTATGTAATTTGCAGGAGGTACAAGTTATGAATTGTTTTCCTCTGACTATAGACAAGTCTCCTTGCTCTGATGGTGAGGTTCCTCCAGTTACCATTGACTTAGAGGGAAGCCCATTATCATGTGATCAGAAACACAAGGTTGAAAATATGCTTAGTCATTGGTCAGACATTATGTCTCAACATCCTTTGGATTTAGGTCATACTACAACAACACAACATGAAATCAACCTTACGGATGATAAACCGTTTAAGGAGCCATATCGTAGAATACCCCAGCATTATTTGAAGAAGTCAGGCAACATTTAAAGAATATGCTTGAGTGTGGAGCCATACGTGAAAGCAGTAGTCCTTATTCTTCAAACATTGTCTTGGTTCGCAAACGTGACCATAGTTTGAGAGTATGTATAGACATGAGAAAGCTGAATTCTAGAACCATTAGGGATTCATACTCTCTACCCAGGATTGATGAAACTCTTGATTGTCTAGTTGGTTCGCGATGGTTCTCAAAGCTAGATTTGAGCTCTGGATACTGGCAGGTAGAACTTAAGGAATCAGACAAAGAAAACAGCATTTTCAGCAGGTCCTCTCGGATTCTATGAATGTAATAGAATGCCGTTTGGATTGACAAACGCACCAGCAACCTTCCAGAGATTAATGGAAAGATGCATGGGGGATTTACATCTTAAGGAATGCTTGATTTATATTGATGATATCATCATTTTCTCACAAACATTTGAACAACATTTGGAGAGAGTTGAGGCTGTTTTCAGAGATTGAGAGAACATGGTCTAAAGTTAAAGCCTTCAAAATGTGAGCTTTTCAGAAGTAAGGTCAAGTACCTTGGGCACATTGTTTCTTCTCAGGGTGTAGAAACTGATCCAGAGAAAATAGAAGCATTGATAAATTGGCCAATTCCTAAGAATATCAAGGAACTACAGAAGTTTCTAGGGTTCACAGGTTACTATCGGAAATTTGTAAAAAACTATGCCAGGATAGCAAAACCTTTGACAGATTTACTTCTTAGGAATCTCCAGAAGGGAAAGCCAAAACAGAAGGGGATATGGACGTGGAATAGTGATCAGCAGGATGCTTTTGATACTTTAATTGAGTGCCTTACATCACCTCCTGTGCTAGCCTATGCAGACTACACTAAGCCTTTTATCCTTAACATAGATGCAAGTATGGAAGGCCTGGGGGCAATACTTTATCAAGTTCAGGATGGTAGGGAACGTGTGATAGCATACGCTAGTAGAGCACTGAGGAAAACCGAGAGAAATTATCCAATCCATAAACTGGAATTTTTGGCGCTGAAGTGGGCTGTATGTGATAAATTCCATGAATATCTATATGGAAGTCGTTTTGAAATAAGAACCGACAACAATCCTCTTACATATGTTTTGTCTACAGCCAAACTGGATGCCACTGGTCATAGATGGCTAGCTGCTTTGTCCACTTATGACTTCAAAGTTACCTACCGTGCAGGTAAAAGTAACAAGGATGCAGATGCATTATCTCGTCACCCTCAGTTTTCTCAGCATATTCAGGCAGATGTAGTCAAAGCAGTTTGTTCTTGTCAGACCATGAATGCTGTTGAGTCTTTGGCTGTATGTCCGGCTGTTCTTGAGGAGAGCAAAGTCCCTTTTAATCATATTGATTGGGTATTTGAACAATCCAAGGATCCTGATATAGCTAGGGTAGCAGATTTTGTGCTGAAGGAGAGAAAACCTACTCCACGTCAACTTAGTAAGGAAACTGATGTTGTACGTAGGCTTTTAGGACAATGGTCAAAATTTGTCTTAAGAGATGGTATCCTCTACAGGAAGAGGTGGCATCAAAACAGTTTAGGATATCAACTTGTCTTACCAACACAGTGGCAAAAACTTGTTCTTCAGGCACTACATGATGATATGGGTCATCAAGGACGCGATAGAACACTGGATTTAGTTCAGTCACGGTTCTATTGGCCTGGTTTAACCAGTGATGTGGATAGAAAAGTCAGATGTTGTGGCAGATGTATCAGGCGAAAAAATTCTCCAAACCAAGTAGCTGCTCCGTTGGTTAATATCACCACTAGTCAACCAATGGAATTAGTTTGTATTGATTATCTCTCATTGGAGGAAGCTAGAGGTTATGGTAATATTCTAGTGATCACTGATCATTTTACCAGGTTTGCACAGGCTATCCCTACGAAAAACCAGACTGCTACTACAACAGCTAAGGTCTTGTTTGATTTTTTCCTTCATTATGGATTTCCAGCTCGACTACATAGTGACAAAGGG